AAGGCATTTCAGGACTAAAAATACCACAAATACCACAAACCACATGTAGCATAGAACTAAGACCAAAGAAACATTGTCTTCTTCCTTACAACATGAAATGGTTGGGTTTCCTGGGAAAATTGTGCTATACAATGAAAAGTCATCATCTAGCCTGTGGTCATCATTACCGAACTCCAAATCTGTGTCATCAAAATGTAAAAATAACCGCCAGATGACTAAATACACAGGCCAACATTCCCATACGTATATAAATGTGACAAGAATGAAGGAAGGAGGCGGTCCTTCTTGCCATACACATGACAGAAGAGCGTGACTGAGCTTGTGAAATAGATTTGGCCTAGGAGCAGCAGCACATCAGTGGATGGAAGGAGACAAGAGGTTCTAATGAAATTAGAAACTGAATGTTGATTTCTCTTATTTGTCAATCAGTGGTTGCAGCGTATCGAACGTGGGTGGTGCTTTGTTAAAGTGGGCCAGATGTTCAGACGCCTTGAAAATTAGTAAGAGCACAAGCAGCGGGGGGGGGGGGGGGAGTTCAGAGGTGTTTGTTGCTTAGCATTTCTGTGTGAGAAATATAGCCACCCCCCCCCCACTAAAAAATACATTAGATGAATCTCACTGAATGACTGCTCGAGTTGTGAATATTGTATCAGTTGCCATGGCATTATAATGAAAGAAACTCTTCTCGTCCGCCTCCTTTACTCCTCTGCTCCATTTGTCTGATCAAGGTGTTTATAAAATAATTAGAAAATCTCACAAGGCAAAAATAGTCATGCGATATCTTTACCTTGTAGAAGTTGAACACGAGGTCCAATTCGCACACGTTGTGAAAATACTCATTCAGCACCTAAAAAGAAAGAGAGGGACAGAATAAAAATATTGTTCATTCCATCAGACAGCAGCCAGGAGATAATCAAATAGTCTACTTTGAGAAGACATAGCTGTATGGTAATTCTATGTCTTGATGTGATGCATCATTGCAGAAATAAACTGACACCGTAGCAGCGACAGAATCCACTTAACAACCATGTAATAACCTGATTTCCACTACAAGGACATCCATATAAAATTTATGTGCTTCCCGTATCATCTGGTTTCCACAAGAGATCATTTTTAAGCAGCGATATTGTGCCATTCTCAATGGCAGCATTACTAACCTCTTGTTGAGAATCTGCTGAGGTGAATATTGAAGGAGCACCGTGAAGTCCTACACTTTCAACATTCTCTGAGAGCACGGGTGAAAGAAAATGCACTATATTGATTTTAAATTGGTTATTTCTCCATGAGCGTGTGGCCATATGCAAGTTTAGAAATACAACTTAGGAAAAATGCACCGACATGCATTCCTTCATAGTCAAACATTACATCAAATGACCTTCAGTCCTGAGAGCCCTGGATAGAAAACCGTGTAGTGTTTGTATTAACCAAAAACAAACAGTAGAACGGACCTTAAGCTCACAATTTCAGTTGTTACTGTTTGATTCATAAAATGGAATATGATTAGAACAAGAAAAAGCCGTTACACAGCAATTAAGCAAACTAAGTGAAAGAACAAGACGCACTTGAGCTGCCTAATGCCGCCACATAATCACCCAGATGTATAATAAACATAGCAGGTTATGCTGATTAACTCATTGATTAGATCAAATAATACAATAATTATTTAACTGTGGAGTTTCAAATGAGATATCGCCCTTTTTAAAATGACACCAGCATAATCTTTGTTACACTATACATTCAACTACTGCCCAACAATGAGAATTATTCCAAAATATACAGCGTCTACGTTTCTGGAATGAAACTGTTTCAGACATTTCTGTCTCAACATGGTTGTGTGGTGTACAGCAGGTAGCTCCAAAATGTCTTTAGATTGTCAGCTCAGTGGGAGAAGTGAGGGAATCTATCTTGGATTTATGGTGTCTCTGCTAAAGACAAAAATGCCAGCATGATATTACGTCCCACATACAGTATTATGACAGACGCAGTGATCAATATGAGCGGATGTGTCGTTCCAGGTCACACAGCTGCTGAATAGAAGTGCTCTGGATACAGTGTCACAGGTTTTTTTTTGAGCAGATGTTCCTACTAATTCACATTGAACATATTTAACCCTGTGACTGAGTTCACAAAGGGATTATACAAAAAAAGTGATGGGTCAAAATATGGATCAGATTAATACACTTAAACTTTCATTAAGTTACTTGTTATAAATGTTTAATTCAAGATAATAAATTGTGATAGTAGCTGATTCACTTCACTGAGCTCTATTTACACTCCTTTAGGTATGTTACAAATGAAATAATTAAGCTTTAATAATTACATACACTAGGACTATTCTATGTTTATTGCCATGCACTGATGAACAGACTTTTGAAAACCGGTTTTAATTGTGTAATATCTACTACTTGTAGAATAGAAAAAACAAACAGAATCTGATTCAATTATTGGTAGCTCTGCTATCAAGCAACATCTGAAATAATGAGTAGAAAAATGGGTTGCTGAAATACCGCTTTTGCTGAGGTAGCACTTTCGGGCCAACGTGTACACACACACACAGACATTATTAGGAAACTGAAACGTTTTTATGTGACCAAAACGCTTACATATAATAAAAGTATTAGCTTCCAAATCTGAAATGGCTGTAACGTTGCATTTACAACATCTGTCTCTTTGAGCAGGCCATTTGAGTGTTTGTGCAATGTCTGCGCAGTCAGCTCCTATCAGACTCATTTTGTAATTAGTGATCAATTTGGTATTTTATTGCTGAAGGCTTGTTTCCAGCGTCACTTGACCTGGCATTATCTAACACTGATGAAAGTCATTAATGGCACACCCTGAACATAATGTAACATTAATTTGGAAACTCATTATAGTATGTTTGGGAATCTGTACTGAAATAGACCATCATGCTAAACATTTCAACTGTGGCTCATTTTTTGTCCTTACACCAATCTGATGAACTGAAGACTAACTCGAAGCAATATTTATCATAGTGATTTACAGACCGTTGTGAAATCATACAGTTTGTGTGGAAAACATCTTACATGTATCATAAAGTAAGGTGTATCACCCATTCACTTGAGTGCTGAATAATAAAACAAATGACTTTATTCCTCTAAATGTTATTTGACTGAAGTCCATACTTCTCACAAGAATGCAGGTTTGATATTAAGGAGCTGAAAGAGAGTAGAGGAGGGGAAATCCTGAGGGAAATCATTAACAGACATTCCTGAAATCAATCAGACCATGAGAAATAAATCATCATAGTTCACTTACTAAGTCTATATATCATGTGTTGTGCTGTGTGTGTGTGTGTGTCAGTTACCTCTACGAAGTTGTGGATTCCCTCGAGGTACGCCAAGTTGTTATCGGTCACGTCCACACAAATACAGAAGTACAGGCCAGCATAACGCCGGTAAATGATCTTGAAGTTCCTGAACTGTGAGAACAACACAGATGAAGCCTCTTAATAACTTTGTCTCACATATTATGACAACAGCAGAGGCTTTACTTAAGTAAAGCTAAGACTTAAGTTTCCCAGCTATGAGATGAAGCACACCCAGTGTGTACCTTAAACCCTTGAAAATAAAACACATAAAAACAGATCAGCAGACTAGGGTTTTCTTTTTTTCTTCTCTAGAATGACGCCATTGATTTTCAAATTGCTTTAGAAAATTAACTTGTGATTTTAGTGGAAAATGCTTGCAATGGGGGAGGGGGACGACGACACATGAGTCACCCAATTATGTTACTGTAAAGCAGCCACAACAGAGATGTTTAAGGACAGTATGCTTTCAGTCATTACACCGCGGTCCTTGATAGGATTCAGCAAATAAGTTCTGGGTGAGTTGAACAAATGAGCATAATGAGGCATTTTAAAGAACCACCCAGAGGAATAGAGAACCATATATGCATGAATATGATGCTGACTCATCCCTTACCTCCACAAAGTTGGTGTGCTTGGCATCCCTGACAGTGACCACAGCATGCACTTCCTCAATCAACTTCTGCTTCTCGTCATCATCAAACTGCATGTACCACTTGGCCAGTCGTGTCTTCCCTGCTCGGTTCTGGATGAGGATGAAGCGGATCTGTGCGACACAATGAGAACAACAGAGAGAGACAACAGCGATGACATTACAACTGTGCTTGGTGTTTTAATCATTTGAAGACACACTTCATTCATCAGAATATGTCATGTTACTTTGTCGGCTATCAGCTGTCACTCGCTTACAATATAAAACAAAAGGAGCTCTTGGATATTTAGCAACAGCTTCATATCTAACTGAACAACATCCATCAATTTAACTGCAACCTGAGCTGAATGCTGCTAGCCTTAGCTGTAGCTATCGTGGAAGCTAGCGTTAGTGAAACCACACCCATTTACTTTGACAACATGCTTATGCCAGCCTGTTGACTGAATGTGAATAACTGCGAGCTATCTGAGACCAGCGGTAGTGGGTGTCTGATAGAAAACACCGTTACTCCAATCCGCGGCCTTAGCTGACCGACCGACTGACTGAAGAGGTTATCCAGCGGGGTTAGTAAATGCTAGCCAACTAGCGGTAATACGCTCCGACTACGAGACAAAAACATTCATCTGTTACATATTTACATATTTACCATTGTCGTCTCCTAAATGTGGACCCTAAACGCCCCAGAATAGCACGTTCCTGAACAATTATGCTACGATTTCACATAGATACATCAGTATTTCCTTCGACCGCTTGTCCGCTATCTTCTCAGAGCTAACAGGAAGTGCACAACTACGCTATGCTGCGTTGCATGCCGGGGTGCGTAGTTTTTGTCGACACGTTTAGAACACATCGAAGGTGACATGACACTACAAGAACCATGGTGCCTCCGCGGTGTCTCTCGTTGAGTCGCACTTTGGATCACATGAGAAGCAAAAGGATGTTTCTGCTATTTTTCTGTAGCAGAAACATTTTGAGTTGTAGTTTTTAAATACAAAGTATACAACGTTTTTTTTTTAAATTTTATTAGAATATAGGCCTAACACAAGATTGTTCAGTTTAAGTATTAGCAGCGTTTCTTATATGAAATAAACTAGTAGTATTTTTACCATAACACATGTAAAAAATACGACATCTTTTTTAAAATCGTTTTTTATTGTATTTTTTTATAATTGTGTGTGTTTGTTTGTTTGCACGTGTGTGCGGTTATGTATACCGCATTTGTGACACACCTCAGGATTACTTGCACACACAATACAGAATGAAAAAGTAGCAATATATATTTCCACCCTCTTGAGGTTACATCATTTGTGGTTGTTTTCTGCAGAGTCAGGACACAGAGTTTGTTTACTGGTCTGGTTGGGCAGCCAATTCACTGCAGAACATTGCCCAGACAGCTTGGACAGCCTGCCTTTTTTTGAACTGTTCTGGGCGTTTAGGGAGTCAGAGGGGATGGGGGAACTGTGATTGTCAGGGATTGCACAACTGTGAGTGAAGGAATGTTGCCCTTGGGACCCAGAAATATTTCAGCTGCAAATACAGAGAGGGTTGAGGTGGGATAGAGAAAAGAAATAGAATGAAAGGGAAAACCAAACAGTGGGTAAACAATAAATGTAGAGTTTTTCTTTTGCAGCTGTGTTTTGATACTGGTGTGTCCAGGGTAATAAAAGCACATGCAAAAAAAGAAAAGGAAATCTTTATATGAGAAATAAATAGAACAATATGTGTCATAATGTAACAAACACAAGTTTTATGATAGGGCCGAGCCCATGTTGAAAAACTGGTTGCAGGAGAAAGAGACGTAAAACATAGGCAGATTATTCAACAGAAACTTTGACCCCCTCCTAATCTTGCTCTGTGTGATTGGGGTCATGCAAATATTGCTGAGAACATAGTGACTAATGTGATTGGACAGAAGCTTGTGGACTTATTCAAACAGATGGCAGTGCACCTTGAACCCTGCCTGGCTGTGTATTTAATGGTTGGTCACATTTCATACTGTCAATACACTCATGTGCATTTTATAAATTATAATTTTACAACTCACATGAGTATGCAGATTTTATGATTATGTGTTACATGTTGGGTTTCCTATTCAACAGCCAAGGATGTAACAGCTTTTACCTTGACTGTAACCTAAAAGACAAGCTTCTGACATGATTTGTGTATTGTTTCCAGGGTGCAGTGTTTCAAATCTCCCCTAAAGTGTCATATATTTAGTTTCTAAATCAATAAGTTGGGTTTACAGCCCTGTGAAGTATTTGTTTTCATATCACACAGAGTTTAGATTACCAGATTGAAATTGCATGTTTGAGGAAGTGCAAGGAAGGAATAACAAGAAGAGAGAGAGAGAGAGAAACGAATTCCAGGAGATCGTCCCAATGCAAGACACTAAACATCTGTTTGCGCTGTTAGTACAGGCAACTGTCTTGTACAACACTGCAAACATTTCTCCAAAAGTATGTGGAAGTAGCAGGGGGGGGCTTAAGAGCTTACATTTTTTATTATTTAGTTGCTGAAATCATCAAAGGACTGACAACCTCACAGAAACTCATTTTACCCAGTGGATGACTCAGGGCACAGCACACATAATTAGGACTAACCTTTGAGAAGATTGATTTTCTCAGGAAAGATAATTAATATTTTCCTTCTGTGCCGCTGGATAAGGAGTCCTTGGGTGAACACAGAACAAATCTATTACCCCTTATGTAGTTGTGGAACATTAAAATATGTTAGAGAATGACAAATGTTTGTACTTTGTACCTGGAAACGGGGATCAGCTATGAAAGGAAGTGATGTGTAAGGCATGGGGCCAAGAGGGCAAAGGGACCAAAATAAAGTCAATTAATTACAATCATGATGACATGAACACATTTCTTTTATCTATTGCTCGGAAACAGTGAAATACACAAGAATAGTCTGATATCAGTGAACTGAGATTTTACAGTACAGATGCATTTATAGCTTAAATCACTTGAATGAGTACTTTTACTCTTGATATGAGTAACAGTGGTGTTATTTTATTATTGCTGTTATTCTATTAGTATTGCCTTACTTTTGTAGTTGTGTACTTTTATCTCTAACAGTGCGTCATAGTTTGAGATCCATGAGGGGGAAAGGGTGACTTTACCACTAAGACTGAGATATGATTGAAACAGTGGATAATACGTGTGTGAAAACTTTAAATGGCAGCCGGTTACCTGCTCCTCCTTAATTCTTTTGGAAACTGTCCATACTTTTTAATGATTGTGATGTAGATGTTATAGTGCCTGGCAACAATAATCCTTATGCTACTTGTTAAAGTAACGATTAGCTCCTGCTGTCAATCAAGTACAAGAAAATGGAAAACAACACAAAAAATTGCAATATTTCCTTCTGAAATGTATTAAATTCACACGTTTACATACATTTTTATAAATATATTTAATTTATGTGTGTGTATATATATTAGTATATTATAAGTCATTGTTAGAGATATTTCTTTTACATCTAGTTTATTAATTTGCCCACTGATGTATACCGTTTGTATAGCTTAACGTATAAATCAAACTACCAAAAAAGAAAGACATCCTTTGGCTATGGTAATTTATTTTACATGGCAGGTTGTTTAAAAATATACCGAATAAGTATTTTTGTTTTTAATCTAATAGTTTACATCTTGTGTAGTGATGAATGGCGGTAAGTAATAATATTCATAAACAGTGCGAGTGTGTTGTAATTGTGTCCATGAACCACTGGGCGAGACTCTCTCTCTTTTTCTCTCTCCCTCTGTGTGTGTGTGAATAGGAGGGGAGATGCTGGATTCGGGAGAAGGTCCGCCATTATTGGGAAGCTGAAAAAAAAATAGACTTAAACACACCGTCACACATTTAGCCTGTAAGGGGCTTAACGTTAGAAAGGAAAATACAGCGGTTTTCGGACGAGCTGTTGTTCCCTGAACGCGGCGCTTCGGTGAACGAAGGCACGGGCTTGTGTTCGCGTTTCGCCACGGACTCTTTTATTTTTGACACAACAAAGGAAATAATAATTGGTCAAAACAACGTGGTGCTTGAACCAAGAAGGGAAAAACACACCGAACAACGCTTTGCGACGCCTCCCCAACCCCCCTTTTTCTCTCTCCTAGTAAGACGTTTCCAGCCGTGGTGAGAAGACTGGAGTTTGAACAGCATTTTTTCTTTTTTCCTAACGTGAATTTAGTTGTTTTTTCTCCCCCCGTCTCTCTCTCCTGAGACAGAGAGAGAGAGAGAGAAGATATTGCATGCTTCAGCATCCCTGAATTAACTTCCAGACCTGATTGAATACGAGGCGCGTAATGTGGGGGGGGGGTGGCCAAGGACAGAAAAGCCTTGTTTCTGAAGAATAAGTCGAAAAATTTTGATCGACGGTGAATGTTGCTTGCAGGGTTACGTGTGTTTGTCCGTTAGAAAAAAAAGAGAAAAA